TTAGCCGATATCTGTTTATTTTAGGTTTCCAATGGCTCACTTTACCCAGCATAGTTCAGTTATACATCACCGTATACTCACATTTAACCTCAGTTCCAGCTCATGGACAGCTTGTTATAGAACCATAGCCTTATTCAATAAAAATCCTTTACTTCCTTCTCTGTCTCTACTCTAAGGGTCTATAAATCAATGTTTTCATAACTTAAACCCAAGATTCATATATTTCAACCGAAGATTAAATTGGAAAAATGTGTGAATCAGGTAAAAGTTGTGCGAATCTTGGGTAAAAACACAGATAAAGAGAACCCTCTAATTTAAAGAATGTGCTTGTTGTTTTTTTATTTTTATTTTTAAAAACTAAGATAAAATACTATTTATACAGTTGCCTTTTATTCCTTCACTATGCTGTTACCTAGCAAGCTAGCTTGGTAGATCCGAGATTGTACAATCATATTGTAATGTGTTTGAACAGCTTCAATCGATCGGGATCACTGTTGGTGCCACTATAAGATCTAATGGGAATGTGCAAAGTAAATTAACCTAACCCGAAACAATTGCTGGGGTTTCCATGCGAAAAGGGCACATTAACAGGGAATGGGTCAATACTTCTGGGAGTGTCAGTCTCATGGGGTTCCTTCTGCTGACCCCCACATAACTAAAGGAGACAGTAGTGAAATGGAGGTCAGCAGGAGGAACCAGTGAGAGCTGCAGGTAACCTAAGACACTGATACTTTCAGGCCCTAGGAGATTGACACTTCCAGTACCTAGAAGATTGATATTTTCATTATCTAGGAGATGGACACTTCTAGTACCTAGGAAATCGATACTTTCAGTATCTAGGAGATTGACACTTCTAGTACCTAGGACATTGATACTTTCAGTATCTAGGAGATTGACACTTCCAGCACCTAGGAGATTGACACTTTCAATATCTAGAAGATTGACACTTCCAGGACCTAGGAGATTGACACTTCCAGGACCTAGGAGATTGACACTTCCAGTACCTAGGAGATTGACACTTCCAGTAGTGTCGGTTTCCAAGCGGAATTATGGGACCATTTCTCATGAACATGAGATTTTGTACCTGTTAGTCAGATCTCACAATTAAGTCAGCTGTGCGCAGCCTTTATATATGTGAGCTGACTGAGGGTCAATGGATCTGTCTCACACTTGTTATGTGAGAGCCTGCTGCTGTGAGAAAAGCTGACTAGTGACAGAACACTAAACAGGTACATGTGCTGTTTGTTTTGGGGAACTGGTTAGGGGACACCCTGTTAGTCAGGAAATGACATAAGTTTAGTTAGTGGCTCAGACAAGCAGATGTTTTGTTTGTTTCAAACTATGGACTTGATACTTTATTGCCTGGCTGAATAAACCTGCTTGGGCTGTTCCTATGGTGCCCCTGTCTGGTGCATGGTTACCACTTCCAGATGAGCCTGGGAAAGAAAGAAAATACGAAATTAATCCGGTAATCAAATGTATGAAAATAAGTATCGGGGGGTTCAGTAGTCCAGCAGTGGAGAACTCAGGCAGGGCTGAAAGCACTGCTTGGGACTTCAAGGACAGCAGAGGCATCATTGTCTACTCAGTAGAGGAGGTTAGGAGCTTAGTAGATTTCTGGCAGGCTCAATAGATATTTCTCTAAAATTGCAGCCTTTTTAAAGAGACAAAACATGGGGAGACATGCTTGTATTGCAGTGATGTAATGCATATAATGTTTCCCAGGCATACACTTTTGTGTAGTTGGAACCTCACTTTTCCAGTTTTTTATCATTTGTTTCCTAGCTAGGAAAAGTAGTCTGGAGATTTCCTCTTTTGCATATTTTCCCATAATGTAATGGATATAATAAATTAATGGATATAATATAATAAATAATAAAAGTAATAGAATATATGAAAACTAGACATGTGCACAGGCAAAAAATGTGTTTAGTTTCGTTTCGATTCGGATTTTGTGTTATTTTTTTTTGCGGGATTCGGGTGTGGAAGTCAATTTGGATACGGACAAAATTCGTTAGCGGTAGTTTGTTTGAACGTTCGTTTTGTTTTCGTTTCATTTTCGTTTCGTTCATTCGCTCGTTCCTTGCAGTAAAGTGACATTTAAGGGGATAAAAAATTTTTTTGTCACTTTGCTGCAAGGAACGAATGGAACAAACGTTCGAACGAACTACCGCTGACGAATTTCGGAATCGGAAATTCGGATTTGTTTTCATTCGTTATATCTGTAATTCGGATACATCCGAATGTCCGAAAATTCGTCCGAATTTTGTTTCGGAATGAAACGAATCGCACATGTCTACCTTAGTGCTACAAATTGTGCCCAATACCTGTGAAGTTTAGGGCATATCCAAACCATATGAATTAGATCTCCAGTGCCTATTGACATCCTTAAGAAAATGGAGGTTTCATTCTTACAATGGTATGTTTAGGAGTACAGTACTGTATAGCGTGTATATTTGTGCTAGATTTTGTGATACACATACTGTGAGCTTAGGAATTATCTGTAAGATTTTTTTCTCATTGCTCACCACTTAGCTCACCTATATCATTGCTCAATTAAGTGCAAATTTTCCTGGGTAGGATTTAAGAAAGATAAAGCATACAGTTCATCAGGAACCGGCCGAAATTCGCACCGTGTGTACCCTACATAAGTCTCCAGTATAGTTTCTGTGGTATAGTAGGCGATAAACATTTTATCAGTATCTTTTCATATATAAGAGGCCTGTATTTATTTTTGGCCTGTAAAGCATCCTGTTACTGAAGGTACTGAAAGAATAGATCCTTAGAGGATAGCTATGTATGTTGCTAATTTGTTACACCTTTTCCCACATTTTTTTTGGACATGCTAAAGGTTGGAAGCTGCTCTTGGCAATTACTGACAAATCCTTCCTCTAGTGCTTCAAGAGGATTATGTCCATTCAAAAAGCTTTGAATCATTTTGGAACCAGCAGTAGCAAAGCATATATTATTCCACCCAGTTAATGTTGTATTTGAGAGGCTAAATAGCATATACAAATATTTGGAACACCAAGTCCAACCTTATCCTTAGGGCATTGTATAAGCTCTAGCATGATTGCTAGCTACTCTTTTATACAGAATTTCTTATTGTTATTATTAAACATAATGCTCTCAGAGGAGACAAAATGGTAATTATGTAGAAGATAAAGTAACCTTGACATAAGAATAATTTGTGTTGATCTTTTCCTCCACAAATATCTGAAGCTTACAAAATTACATTTTAAAAACCAAATAATTCAATGCAGAGGCGTATATACAACAAATTGCGCCCCTGGCATTCTGCCCAGCTCCTGGCAACCCGTGACGTCCCACCCAGGAGCTGGGTGGGATGCCAGCCAGAGCATCCCAGGTTGCTAAGAGCTGGGTGGGGAGAGTTGTAAGAGCCATATACATCTCCCTGCCCAGCTCCTAGCAACCTAGGATGCTCGGGCCAGTGTCCTATGCGCATACACATCTCCCCGCCTGGCTCTTAGCAACCTGGGATGCTCTGGCTAGCTTCCTGTCCACATACGCATCTCCCCGCCCGGCTCTTAGCAACCTGGAATGCACTGCCAGCGTCCTGTCTGCATACACATCTCCCCACCCGGCTCTCAGTAACCTGGGATTCTCTGGATAGTGTCCCGCCCGACTCCTGGAAACCAGTGACATTACTTGTTGCCAGGAGCTGGGCAGGATGCTGGCCAGAACGTCTCTAGTTGTTTAAAGCCAGGTATGTTTTGCACCAGTCTGACATACACAAAAGTGTATAGACACCTGACCATCACATCTACCGATATATGTGAACACCCTCCCTAATTATTGAATTCATTGTTTCCAGTGTTAATGATGGCTGCAAAAAGTGCAGGTTTTGTAGTTACATTTTCATCACCATAGTAGAAAGATATGTGAAACGGAAAGTTCTGGATTCCTGCAAACTGCAGATAATTGTTCAGACTGGCAACGCTCACAACACATTAGTATGGCATTCTGAAATGAATCTGGACCTTGGCTTCAAATGAAATGTTATGTAAGTTTTAAGGACTGAACTAACATGTGTTAATGTGCTTTTTTGGGGGGTGGTAGGGGCATATTCCCCTGAAAATAATAAAAGTAATATAATGTGTATCTTTACAGTAGAATTCAATTCTAAAATTAAAAAACAATCTAGATGGTACTTGGCATGTCCCTTCTGCCAAAAAACACCTTCCTCCTTTACTCAGCAATTTTTTGATTTCTGTGTACACTGTATAGCTCATGTCCCTAGGATTGTATATTCCCATCTCAGTGCCAGCATCTATAAGGTAGCAGGAATGGGCCAGGTGCCAGGGATAATGTAACTCCCACCAATGGCCACAGAGGATTGCTGCAGGGCCTGGAAGGATGGCAGCAGAGATGGCAACAAATGAGGACGCAGTGGTGACAGGTGCTTGGACCAATCATCTCTAGTGGATAGCACAGAAGTAGTAGGTGGGTGCCAAAATCTATGTGCATACTTGCAGATTCGAGCAAAATCTCTGGTGTAAGCAAGAAGAATGCTGATAGGAGGAGAGACAGAGATGAGCTCATTGTTATTCTGCTACTTTTCCTGTTCAGTGACAGGGTGGGGGTAAGGAGGGAACCTGTAAGTGAAAGTAAAACTGCAGAAGCAAAAGATCATTTCCCCCCTACAGAACTAGGTTGTGTGGCAGAGCTGTGTATATCTCAGAACTCTGGAGACAAAAATACAAATTCTTTGGCAGGTAAAACAGCTTTTATCTGTGTATTTAGCTGTTTTGCTGGAGTTCAGTTTAGTTTAGTAATGACAATCTACAAACACATACTTCTAGATAATTGCCGGCATTGTATTCTTTGCATACCTTATTTCTCTTTTCTTCCCCAATCTTCTGACAGCGGCCACTTTTTACTAAGGCCAGATTAATATATCTCCCTTTACTTCCTGGAACTCTGGCACATGTAACTAGGACATGTGACCATGCAAATCGTCTCAGGGGAGGAAAATGCCTTTCCCTGAGATCTCGTGAGATTACAGATAAAATTTCCCAGCAATACTCTGCTTATGTATTCCTCCAATGCAATGCTTGGGCACGATTACATCATTTGTACCAAGTGGAAAAAAATCAACTAAAATAAAAATATATTTGTTTATCTAATAAATGTAAGATGATTTTATATCAGCATGCAGAGCTGTATGCTGATGTGATTTTTAGTCAAAGGGGGTAAAGGTCCACTTTAAGCTAAAAAATTAGAATTGCGGGAGGTAGAGTTGTGCTAGCAGAAGAGACATGCAAAAAGTTCTCCCTTTTTCCCCAGGGATGTTTTATTTTTTTGTGTACACAGTACAGAGCATGGGCAGTGCAGTGTACACACTCAGCCTATTCACAGCATCTCTGAAGCAATACAGTAAGTTCACCACCCTCAGCCTGCGACTGGACAGTAAAGGAGAAGTAGCAGACTTATGAAGTCATCTCTCTGTCACTCTGCTCTATTCTTCTATTAGCATAGTACTTGTCAGCATATCTGAATGTCTCCTAATGTGGGTTCTCACTCTTCTAGTGTTCTAATGTACAGCAGATTACAATACAATTTCATTACTTACTTACACTGGTTGCATTTAATTATATATTTAATGATTTATGTTGAGTACTTTACGATACTACTTAGTGCTTGGTATATCTGTCCTGTATTCAGCTTTAATTGGACAACTTTGAGAATGCAGCTATACATGTAAAGCCCTACAGAGAGTTTTGTAATATAAATGGATGCTAATTATCTTGTCCGGTAAACAGAACAAATAAAAGTGTCATGACCTTATTCTGCTCCCTCATCTTGCAGGTCTCTTGTTTGACGATTACTACACAATGGTGTACTTAGGCAAGGAGATGAGGAATGGAATCTTCCTCCGGAGTGTACACACAATCAATCAGGACCCTTTTGTAACATAATACAAAAACGTTCTTCAAAATGGATCTAAAACTAATTATCTCCTTCACCAGGGCAGCAAAGTCAGCAATGAGCTGTCAGAGTCTTTGGCTAGAATGTGGAATCACATATTCTTATATAAATGGATTGTTTGGGGTTTTGGTTTATCCCATGCCCAAGCCAGTTTCAGTAAGTCCAGTGATCTTAGGATAGCCATGTTTCTTGCAAGAAATGCATATGATCATTTGACGATTGGGTCATGCGGTTCTGGAAGCTTTCATTCTTACTTACAGAGATCTTCCAAATTTTTTTAGAAAGTTCCTAAGCAAGTGAGTGTGGATTACTTGGAAAGTTTATCTCGCCATGCTTGCTTTACTATCAGCCATTGGCAGAGGTAAAGAGACAGTGCCAGTGGGTACCAGTGGTGTCCCTAGCCATTGATGTGCTGGTGGTGCACCTTCCGGTGGGGGTGTGCGGCTTCCCGCCCAGCTCACTAACGTCACTGGTTCCAGGAGATGGGCAGGACACCAGAGTGTCCTGGGTTGCTAAGAGCTGGTTAGAGAGATGTGTATGGCCCTGACACATCATCTCCCAGCCCGGCTCTTGGCAACCTTGGATGCTCTGGCTAGAAAGGTGGTGGCAAGCACACTGCAAACATTGTGCAGCAGAGCAGCCATGCCACTCTGCTTGCGCCCCCCCCAACCCCCCCACGTGACCAAAGAGATTCCGCCTGAGGCAACAGTCTCAGGCTGCCTCATTATTGTCCTTAGGGTGGACCATTTAAAAAAAATCTATATTATTATTATACAGGATTTATGCCGCATCAACACTTTGCTCAGCGCTTTACAAAACTGAGGGAGACAATACAATTTCAATACAGAAGGCTTACAATCCCATCATTTTAGTTCTGCCTTGTTCCTTTCCATCCTGAAGAAAAACACGAAGTACACCAAGATTAAAGTAAAAACACACATGCCTCTTATATTTAGACCAATTTTTTTTAATCCTGAAGTTCACCTTAAAATTCAGGTACCATTCACTAACTCACTACCACTGCTGGAAGTCTGTTTCAAGGATCAATGACTCTTTCTTTAACGTAGAACTGCAGGTTGTAGAAAAATCAACCCTTGCAGTGGGGCTACGCCTGCACTGCAAGGGTTAACTGCTCATTTTGTCTAGGGGGCAAAAACAAGGAAGAAATGTTCACCCCATCCTCGGTCATGCCTGGCTGCTAGACCAGTCCCACAGCCTCTCCTTTCCCGGGCTACAGCATTCTAAGCCCCGATGACATCATCACGTCTACAGTTCATTCATTTGTATTAGATGTGAGGACACCTACAGCCGGAACAGGGCTGGAACGGACACACCACAGCCAGAACAGAGGGGAACAGAGGTGAGCAGTCACTGCCGCAGGACCGAGGCTCAGGGGTGAGTATTTCTTTTTTATTTGAGCCCCGTGGAGAAAAACGAGCAAGTTAACCCTTGCAGTGCAGGGGTAGCTCCACTTCAAGGGTTAACTTTTCTAAGACCTGGATTCCTTCTTTAAAATAACACTTTCTAAGGTTATTTTTGAATAACCTTGAATAACCTTTTTGATACTGAATATATTGTCCTCCAGAACATTGTGTAATCACATGATACCCTAATCCTCTACTCCCTTATTCACAAGCATTTTGTAGCACTTTTACTGCCTGAAAAAATGTTTAAAAAAAAAAAAAAGATTAATTTCTATGGCCATGTTCACATCTGAGCGTTTGGTCCCTTGAAGCAAACGCCTGTCGCTTGAAGAAAGTACATAAGCTTCTTTTCTGGCAGATTCTGCACTTCCTGGCCCCATAGACTTCAATAAAAATGCTCAAAATGTGTGCTTGCTGCGTTTCTGCACATTTTACGCATGGTTTACATGCGTTTGCACATTCACATCAATGTGTCAAGATCTGCTTGCAAAAAGAGTTATATCACAGCCTGGTCATACACATACTAGGCATGCAAGAGAAGCCAAGCCAATGCAGTGCATATATCCAGAATTAACCCTAGCGTCAGTGTTAACCCTTTCCCCTCCATAGCAGGTTTAGAGTGAAAGCTGGTTCCTCTTGCTGAGCCACTTGTGATTCACCTTCCAGAGGTAACGTCAGCTGTACATTCACCCTCTCCTCCCTCCCCCAGCCCCCAGCACCACTCACTACTACTATGCAGAGATGAGAGCAGGAATTTGGTGTGAATGTCAGAGGAGGGACCCTGGAGGGGAGGTATGGGAAGATAATGAGAGGGTGGGATGCAGGGATTTGGAGGATGTGAGAAGGGTGGGATAGTGAAATTAAGAGGTGGGAAAACAGAGGGGAGGGATATGGGAAGAAATAGGGGAGGATTGCAGACAGAAAGAAAGACAGAGAGAATTGGAGGAACGAGGGAGGCAAAGAGAAGAAGTAGAAAGGGGAGGGATAGAGAGAGGCTCAGAGGGGGGAAAGGTTGTAGTCACTCTGTTCCTGAACTTTAACTGGACCATTGCTATACTGGGACTGACTGGTGCTGGCTATAACCCTAATGAGCAGGGGGAGTTTCACAGTGGCACTGGCAGGACACCTTGGTATCACCTTTCCTATGGAAAACAAATGAAAGAGGAACAGAGTCCCTTCCTTCTCTCCACTTCCCTCCAGGTGAAGAAGTTGCACTGCTCTGGACCAGAGAAGGAATCCTCTGAGAGTCATCATTATTCATGCCCTGCAGCAAAACTCAGCAAGCCTTCCTGAACGTCACCTGTGCACACTGTGCTGCCAATCTCCCCCCCTTGTCTGTATGGAATGGCTGAGAATGTATAGCATGTGTACAGAGGATAAAGATGGGTGATCAGAGAGTCCTTTGTAGGATGCAGTAAGTACTGATGACAGCTTTCAGTTGGGGATACTACTGCACATCCATTACTTTTACGCTACAGTGACCTTAATGCTGCCAAACCTCATCCCTGCCAGTCTTCTGCAGGTTTTATGTCTTCTGTCATCAACCTTGAGAAATCTGGATAGAAGGTTACAGAGGGAAACTTATACATATGTGGAATTCATAAGATCTTGCCATCATATGGAAGGGACTGCTCAGCACACCTGCCATCACAGCTCTCTGTAGCTTACCTGGCATGTAGCCTTGGCTTTGTGTAGTACCACTCAGCATGATGCTGCCACCAGGATGTGCTTTTCTCTTGCCAGTTATCTTCATCAGTATCACCTGCCTAGACCAGGAGCCAATTCACCATGAAATTGACCTGTCGCTACACTTCTATGATGACAATGGTGAGTAGATCTTAAATAAATCATCCACACACTTGTCCGGTATATACAAGGGTAGGCACCCTGGGCACTCCAACTGCTGTGGAACGACAAGTCCCATGTGGCATTGCAAGGCTGTGACAGCAAGAAGGTATGAGTCCCAGAGGCAGGGGCCTGAGGGGAGTTATAGTTTCACCACAGCTGGAGTGCAGAGGTTACATACTATTTGAGGTTGAATAAAGACGCAGGTCCATCAAGTTTAAACGTTGTGCCTACCCCATATCTAGTAAAAGGCAATGATGTACACCTGTAAATCTCTAAAAAGTTTGATTAAGACCTCATAAAACAGAGGCTAGCGCTGCACAGAACAGTTTGCAGTAATACAATATGTATGATTTGTAACCTGAGCTGCATTACTGTATGTTGGTATACTAATCAGATCACTTGTTTTCTAGGGGTAATGGGACACTCTTAACATATTTGTAACTATTTACAAATAAACCACGTCAATAAATACATTGTTAAATGCAGCATATTAGAAAGAGTCATGGTAGTATCCTGATCTGAATGTGGTTTGGTTTGTAGGATTGTACATGCATTACCATTATATCAGCAGCAAATAAATGCATTTTGGAAAAACAGGGAGTGCACATTTGGTGAAGTGCAATGTTTAGTTTTGTCGGTTAACACTAAGGGGTCTATTCACGAAGCAGCCGAAGGATCTAGCCGTAGCTTCGGCCGATCCTTCGGCTAGCTTCGGCCCCAGGTCACCTTTAGTTCAGTAGAACCGAAGGGCTGCTGTACGGCTATTCACTATAGCCCGTACAGCTCCCGAACGTGGCCGAGCGGCTCAGTCGAGCCGAACGCATATGACTTTTTTATTTCTATTTTGACACGGCTCTGGGAGAGTTAGCTGTTTGGAGATCAGTGTCCCTGGGTAGCTGTTAACCAGGGACGCTGATCTCTCTGCAAGTGGCCGGAGCCAGCCGTAAGATCACGGCTGGCTCCGCCCAGCTGTCAGCCAGCCAATGGCCGGCAGCTCGACCAGCTTCGGCTTTCAGCACGGCTCAGCCTAGCCGAGGCATATGCGTTTGGCTTGACTGAGCCGCTCGGCCACGTTCGGGAGCTGTACGGGCTATAGTGAATATGGAAGCAGGAGGTTCCCAGAGCACCCAGGAGAGTTTTTTTTTCTTCGTTTTTTTATATGGCAGCAGAACCGCCGGACAATAGAAAACTGTTGGGCGGAGCTAGCTGTCACTGCTAGCTCCGCACAATCGTTTTCTATTTATTTTGTTGTGCTTTTTTAACTATTTTTCTGTTCTGCTCGGTCCCTCAGAGGGACTGAGCAGAACAGCCGAGCCAAATGCCGCTCGGCGGCATTCGGCTATTCTCTCACTGCTGTTCGGCATCTATAAGAATAGACCAAACAGCAGCGAGTAGCCTGCCGGAGGTTCAGCTCAGCCGATCCAGATGTTGGATCGGCTAAATCGAACTCCTTCTGCACTTCGGGTCGGCCGAACATGTTGAGCATGTTTGGCCGACTCGAAGCCACGCGAAGCCACCCGATGTACGGCTGACTTCAGCCGATATACGGCTGAAATCAGCCGTACCAGCCTGAAGTGAATAGCCGAACAGCCTTCGGCTCACTTCACTTCAGGTCGGTCTTTCACCCGGCTGATATTTAAGCAATGGATGAACTCTGGAGCTCAGAGTCACTTAAAGGCTTCCAATATCTTTTGGGGGACTAAAGTAGAGATTGTCGAGTCCCTTTTGCTCATTCAGTTGATGGCAGTGGTGGTGATGGCAGTGAATGTGACACTCCTTCTATTCCATTCTTCTTATTAAACACAGGAGTTGAACCTTAAAAATGGATTCAAGTTCCTTAACTATTAACAAAACTGGACCTTATTTGTGTATCACTCAGCTGTAGATCCTCAAATCATCTCTGAATTGGTGCTGACACTGTCCTTCCTTCTGGAGGGTGGCTACTTTTGTTCCCCATGGTCCCTGTGCGTGTGTTTGTAAAGTAGTCACCGTTCCAAGCTTGCTCCTGTAGTAGACTACAATCTCAATACAAATGAGTAAACTAAAAGTAAACTAAAAGTGAGATTGTAGTCCATCATGGAAGTGAGCCTGCTTACATTAAACAGGAAAGTTAAAGAGAAGCCTCATCTCACAGGTTGGATTCTGGGACTGGTGCTGTGATGGTACTGCCAGGGAAGCTGGATAGGTTCATTATCAATGTCCCAGATGGAGCATGTGTCCCAGTAGTAGGAAAGAGGCCACTGCCCTTGATTGAAGCTACTTCTAGAAGTATGATACATTCCCTTTTAAGGGGAATTTCAGATTAAGAAGAACAAAGGGTTGCAGGTCTGGCATGTAAATGTTAGAGTTTCTATATGTACATACTGGAGGCAAACTGTAATTGTAGAATCATTGAACTTAATTTCTTTTCTTCAGATTAAAGCAGTGAATGCTAAATATTTTTATAACCCAAAGCTACACTAACAAACTTCATCCATGAATATATTGTTACACTTTTCATAAATAAACAATAGAAGTTCTGTTGGTGTGCTAATAGTCACAATCAGGCTAGAACAGACTTGTTCGTAAATATCTGTAGTACTAAGAGCCTCCATTTCCGTCTTCCTTTGATCAAAGACTTGTACCATTGTGAGAGAAGAATGCAAGTGGCCGGAGCCAGCCGTAAGATCACGGCTGGCTCCGCCCAGCTGTCAGCCAGCCAATGGCCGGCAGCTCGACCAGCCTCGGCTTTCAGCACGGGTCAGCCTAGCCGAGGCATATGCGTTTGGCTTGACTGAGCCGCTCGGCCACGTTCGGGAGCTGTACGGGCTATAGTGAATATGGAAGCAGGAGGTTCCCAGAGCACCCAGGAGAGTTTTTTTTTCTTCGTTTTTTTATATGGCAGCAGAACCGCCGGACAATAGAAAACTGTTGGGCGGAGCTAGCTGTCACTGCTAGCTCCGCACAATCGTTTTCTATTTATTTTGTTGTGCTTTTTTAACTATTTTTCTGTTCTGCTCGGTCCCTCAGAGGGACTGAGCAGAACAGCCGAGCCAAATGCCGCTCGGCGGCATTCGGCTATTCTCTCACTGCTGTTCGGCATCTATAAGAATAGACCAAACAGCAGCGAGTAGCCTGCCGGAGGTTCAGCTCAGCCGATCCAGATGTTGGATCGGCTAAATCGAACTCCTTCTGCACTTCGGGTCGGCCGAACATGTTGAGCATGTTTGGCCGACTCGAAGCCACGCGAAGCCACCCGATGTACGGCTGACTTCAGCCGATATACGGCTGAAATCAGCCGTACCAGCCTGAAGTGAATAGCCGAACAGCCTTCGGCTCACTTCACTTCAGGTCGGTCTTTCACCCGGCTGATATTTAAGCAATGGATGAACTCTGGAGCTCAGAGTCACTTAAAGGCTTCCAATATCTTTTGGGGGACTAAAGTAGAGATTTTGGAGTCCCTTTTGCTCATTCAGTTGATGGCAGTGGTGGTGATGGCAGTGAATGTGACACTCCTTCTATTCCATTCTTCTTATTAAACACAGGAGTTGAACCTTAAAAATGGATTCAAGTTCCTTAACTATTAACAAAACTGGACCTTATTTGTGTATCACTCAGCTGTAGATCCTCAAATCATCTCTGAATTGGTGCTGACACTGTCCTTCCTTCTGGAGGGTGGCTACTTTTGTTCCCCATGGTCCCTGTGCGTGTGTTTGTAAAGTAGTCACCGTTCCAAGCTTGCTCCTGTAGTAGACTACAATCTCAATACAAATGAGTAAACTAAAAGTAAACTAAAAGTGAGATTGTAGTCCATCATGGAAGTGAGCCTGCTTACATTAAACAGGAAAGTTAAAGAGAAGCCTCATCTCACAGGTTGGATTCTGGGACTGGTGCTGTGATGGTACTGCCAGGGAAGCTGGATAGGTTCATTATCAATGTCCCAGATGGAGCATGTGTCCCAGTAGTAGGAAAGAGGCCACTGCCCTTGATTGAAGCTACTTCTAGAAGTATGAGACATTCCCTTTTAAGGGGAATTTCAGATTAAGAAGAACAAAGGGTTGCAGGTCTGGCATGTAAATGTTAGAGTTTCTATATGTACATACTGGAGGCAAACTGTAATTGTAGAATCATTGAACTTAATTTCTTTTCTTCAGATTAAAGCAGTGAATGCTAAATATTTTTATAACCCAAAGCTACACTAACAAACTTCATCCATGAATATATTGTTACACTTTTCATAAATAAACAATAGAAGTTCTGTTGGTGTGCTAATAGTCACAATCAGGCTAGAACAGACTTGTTCGTAAATATCTGTAGTACTAAGAGCCTCCATTTCCGTCTTCCTTTGATCAAAGACTTGTACCATTGTGAGAGAAGAACGGCATGACATTGGTGTTACACAAATAAATGCAGCCTCTTTCAGCCTGCAGCTCTTTCTAATTGCTTGTCCCCAAATCCCCTTTTTGTACATTCCACAGGGAACAAACACCAACAAACCAAGTGGCAAAATAAATAAGTGAAAAAGAATGGTGCAGAAGAGGGATAATGGATAATATGTGTCAGGAATGTATATATTGCTGGTTAAGCTTTGCCTATGGATAAAGGAGGTATTGTCAACAGTCAGTGTATAGACAGATGACTGTGTCATTGGAAACTCTATATAGAACTGCTATTGCTTCATGCAATGATTATGATAAAAAGGGCTCTATGCCAGTACAGCAGCAGTCACTGTAAATTGGACAGCTGAACAGCATATATATCAAATGAAAGAGGTTCCCATTTCCTTAATAAAAGTGCAAATAGCTTTCAACCATCCAACGGTGTCTTGTATTTCTCATATGTCTTGTATGGCACGGTGAGATAGCTCAGCTTGAGTTTCCAGGGTAGCCCACCTGCTGTGACCATTATGCGGTGGTCCTGTTCTACCTGAAGGTGGAGGTTGGAGTAAAATCACAAGACAAAGTATCTCAGATATCAATGTCACTACAATACTAAATCTCAAATCATATTAACATCAGTGAATAAAGAAAAGCTGCGCTGTGAGAATACACACTGCCATTGCCAAACTTTCCTTATGAAAGTGTTAGTTTCCTGGCTGTTAGGTTTATCTAAAGCCTCCAAGAGTTTATGAATCTTATACCCAAAGCAAGTATGGAGATCAGTCCTGACTCATCTCTGACTTCACTAGGTGCATGCACAATTCAGATACAATTCTTTTCTTTCACTTATAAGGAAACTATGATGTTTTTTAAAGCATTTTTATTGGATTTTTTCACTGCAAGGATTAAGTGCTCATTTGGTGTAAGAACAAAAATAAAAAAGTTATAGTCACCCGAACCGTGGAGCCAGCTGGCTCCTACAGCGCTTCCTCCAGCCTCTCCGAATCCTCAGCATTGGCATCCTCACATCCTATACACTGTGTATAGAACATGATGACTCTAGGATCCTTAGACCACTACAGCAGAGGGGGAGAGACGCTGGAAGGACCAGTCTAAGAGCTAGTCGACATGAGGATCGGGTAAGTATAACTTTTTTTATTTTTGTACATAGACAAAAATGAGCATGGGGGTAGCCCCACTGCAAGGGTTAAAAAAACATTTCCATGTAGTTCTTCTGTAAGCTTATATATTTCAAACTGATGTATTATATTGTTGTTTTTTTACATTTAATACATGACATACATTTCCCAAAGCATGGTATGTTGGCTAAAACGACAGCACAGCATAGCACAGACAGCAAAGTACCTCCCTTTTTACAATCCCATTCACTGAAACCTTGGACCGAGCCCTCCAACATGGGAGTCACTGCTCTGACCCATTCAATTGTGCCTGTAAATTGCAGCTTAATCTACTGAGTGCTATAAACGTCAAGCTTTGTACAATATACATATACAATATTTCTTATTGTTTTAAACACAATGGTATTTCTTTATTTCTGACCATAAAAATACAATTTGTACAAAACCATTATTCACTACCTTTATCAATTAGACCTTGTGATTAGCCAAGATGCCATACTACTACTATTACCACTACTACTTTATTCTTTATCTTTTTGTTCTACAGTTCACCTCGATGGTGGCTGTAGATATTGTACATAGTTATTTGTCAGGCATAAAACAAACCTCATTGTAATTTATCCTCTCAAAGAGGAAGGTCCCTCTGGAATCCAAATTTTGTCATCCTAGGCCATCGCTACTGAAGCTGGCCATACACTGCTCCTGTTCTCCCTGCTAAATTGGCCAAACTTAGAGCCATGGGTAGCCCTGCATCCCCCCTGTTTGACAAAAGTTGAATTCTCAATTGACTTTTGTTGAAGATGCTGGTTCAAAATTAGATGCAGGTGCTGTACGGGTATTCAGCAGCCACTGGAGCAGCAGTTGTTGAATACAAAAGCCAGCTGCGGACATCCTTCCATCCCTGCTGTTTATTGTGAATGGGGAATGGATGGATTTGTAGCATGGCCAGCTTAATTATAAGCTTTAGAAACTTTAGAAAGTATAGTAATTTACGCTTTCTACTTCCTTTAGAGCTATTGTGGGTTTTGTTTTGTTGCATATTGGTTAATATTTCTTAAATGATAAATAATGAAATGTGTCCTACTTTTGTATTTTTTTTAAGCAATAGAGAATTGTGCAAATACGATTAGAAAATGTAGTAGGTGTCTAGGATTCCCCAAACCTGGAGTGCTTTAGGACTCTGGCTCCTGAAGTCAAGCATAGACCCACCACCTCATGCACTATGCTATTAGCCAGTGAGGCTAGATTCTATATTAATAAACTAATAGTGAAACATGAGGGGAGTCCAAACTGATATTAGAAGGTGCAGTGAAGATTTGTGTTCTAGAGCAGTGTTTCCCAACCTTTTTATCGCCGCGGACCGGTCAACGTTTGATAATTTTAGCGCGGCCCGCTGAGGGGGGGAGGGGGGACGGGACGTTGATTGTTTATATTTTATAATATATATTATTATAATCATCTCAAAATATCACCCAAACCATCCTCTCCGTTCCTCTTAAGACCTCCTGCTCTCTTGCTCTCTCATTACCTCCTCCCATGCTCGCCTCTGGTACTTGTCCAGAGTGTCCCATATCCTCTGGAACTCCTTACCCCAATCTGTCTGCCTATCTCCTACGCTGCCCACCTTCAGTCGATCCCTAAAAACCCATCTCTTCAGAGAAGCCTACCTCATCTCAACATAACTAACTTTTACTTCCTCCAATAACTCAATCCAAACAATTATTACCTTTTGTATCACTTGCCCCTCCTACTAGATAGTAAGCTCTCACGAGCAGGGCCCTCCCAACCCTATTGTTCTGAAACTGTATTGTACTGTAAATTGTATTGTAACTGTGCTGTCTCCACTATTTTGTAAAGCGCTGAGCAAATTGTTGGCGCTATATAAATCCTGTATAATAATAATAATAATAATCAACCTCTTTGCCTCTTAGAGATTCTTGGACGCACTGAATGCTTCATTGGTATTATTCTGTAGAGATTTGCTACATGACCTTTATTTTGTATAATCCACAGTACTAGTTATATAAATGCTTAGATATAGACCTTTAAATAAAAACTACAATGTTTATTTTAATCAGCTAAACACTGAATATTATATATTTTTATGCAATATCAATTTTTGTTAATTAACAAAATATATTAACAAATATATTAAACACTATACTGTACATGCACAATCATGCACTGAAAGCAGACATTTGGTTCAATACCATTTCTAGCTATTAATAATTAAGTAAATATATTTTTCTTCTATGTACAGTACAGTAGTATATTTTAGCAAACTACTTTACATACAAAAGTAATTTTAGGTGAGGTGAATAGACTGAAGTAATCTTTAATTAAAACAAAAACAAAAAACTAAAAACCGTTAATGTGAATATAGGAATTTCTATACACATGTGGAAAAATATACATTTGGCTTTGTACTGTACGTACTTCTACTGAATGGTTGACTGTCATATTGGGCTAAACATCACTTAATAGAGATGAACATTATCTTTTGAAAAAGGACATGATGGCATATACTTTAGCAAAATAGTCTAAGTAAAGTTAAAAAAAGTATTAACAAATAGTATTTAAATATAAACTCCAGGAAAGCAGCTAGGCATACTTCTCTTTCTAATTAAAAGCAAATTCTGACTATTTGGTCAATTTGGACACACTTTAAATGTACAAACAGCTACACAAATATACATATATTATTTTACTGGAATGGTACTGCTTACATTTAATGGATAATAAATGCAAAAAAATTAAAGTAATCCAGTATAAATTGGAAGTTTAAATAATTTCCTAATATAATATTATTATTCTTTATATAATTTAATACTTTACAATATTTGATTTGGTATTTGCAATGTTGTTATCTGCAATTTCTGACTTGCAGACACTTCTGTTAGAGCTCTATATAAAAATGTTTTCCCCGAAAATTCCCACAACCTTCACCAAAGATCCACACATCTCCTATTTGTATCTGTGTGTATATATTGTAACAAGGACACTCCATTTTAGACCAGAGGTGCAAGTCAGATGCAGTTTATTTGCTTTCAAAACGGTAGATAACATGAAATCCAACATAAATAGCTCGCTGTAGCATATAACATCAAGGGAGTCACAAAGTCCAAAGGGCTTGACAATGGTACACCAGCCTGGAAGTTCCGACCACGTGTCCGTCACCTAATACTTCCTTGGGACTATTCAGTCTACCTTTTATCCATCACACAGGGTTCAGTTGGTTTACACTTTGTAGCTAAGCAAGCCAAGAACAACCAAGGAACATTGCTAGCCTTTTTGTCTCCAGCTGCTATGAAGAGAGATGGCCATCCTCTTTTACGCCTTGTTTCTGACACACAAGCGGACCAGCTGCGTTTAGAGTACCGCACCCCTCAGACCATGGAACCAGCCTCTTTGTTACTCCCAGGTGGATCACCGTTTTCTGGCTCCAAATGGGCACGACTTGCACTGAACATAGACATTCACAAGGTTACACTCTTTCTGGATTGCGAAGAACCGGTGATATTTGGAAAAGAAGGAGAAAATGAGTTATTAAGCCTTATTCTTCCCCTGGATCTTGAAATTAGCTTTGCAAGCACCCCAGGAAACAAAGAGAGCAAGTTCTTGGTAAGGGTATTGCTTTATCCCTTTAATTTTATTATGTTGATTATCTTAGACTTAGACCTTCCTGATATTCACTTATAATTTGATGGCACCATTTATGCAAAGTATGCTTGTTTTGTGATATTGCTTACTGCTCAAGCTAATATGTTGCCTGTCGGGGGAAGGTTTGCTGAGTTTGGAGTTATATATTTTTGGCAATGCTAAATAGAACATTGATTTGAACATGCAGTGCTGTTCAAGCCTATAGAATTTACTTTTTTTAAACACATTTACAATATTACATTTTCCCTGCACATATATGCAGAAAACTGGGTGTTTTCTGATTAATCCCAGAATTCAGTTTGTATAACTGAATAGATATTAAAATCCAGTGTGAAAGTTAACTTTTTATGGAATTAATTCTGTCATCTTCCCCCAGGGTTACTGGCAAACAGCTGAAATTTCTCCAACTGGATTTTCCCGTAGGCCATGGCATTGCGAAAATCGCTCAGGTGAGAGTAAAAACTCTATGGTCCAGTGTTTCCTAGTGTAGCTTGCCAGTTTTACATTAAATGGGATTTGGTTATAGTGTTAAAATCAGTGATTGTGCCAAAGGTATGTTCTTCTGACAGACTGATTAATAAAGAGCTAGGGTATCTTGCCTGTTTATACTACCTGACCAAGAATGTCTGCTGCTATCCCCTGCCTCTGCTGCTAAACCTTGTCCATGCTTCATTTTAAGCTAATTTGTCATCACTTTTATATTTATAAGAAGTGGGAGTCCAAGTAGACAATAATTGTGAGAACTCTGGTGTTGCCTGCCCTAGAAAGTTATTTGTGCTAGGCACACTTGAGTGATGATGCCCCCTTCTTACAAATCTGAATTACTGACTATGCCCTTTATGGTCCCACCCACAACATAATTACTGTCACAATCACTTTAAAGAATGAATCTTAAATATTTTTTTTTTATTTTGCACATAAAGCTAAATACAATAATGACATTAACGAAACCCCTCTGAAATAACACATATTAACACAATGCATATTATTGTTGAACCAAACATTAGAATGGGGAAGGTGTGTGATCTCAGTAACTTCAACTGCCAAATGATTGTTGATGCTGGTTGCAGCATGTCAGATGCAGTTAACAACCTGGGACTCCCCACATACTGAAGTCTGTAAACAGTGTGAAAAACAAAAAATGTCCACTGCGTGGTAGTTCTGTGGTTGAAAGACTTCTTATTAGAAAGATCAGAGCAGAGTATTGAGATGTGAGACAGAAAATCCCCTCAACGTGGTAAAATAACCACTCTTCACAAATATCAGTTTGCCCTGAACTGAAAAAGTGAGAGTTTCTTTTAGGGAAGTATTATTGGAGATTGGTCATTTTAATGGCAAGTGCAAGGGACAACATTAAACTCTTATTTCTAGGCTTTGGAGGGAACAACCAGCAATGCAGCTTAGTTAGATGGTGCCTTACATGATACCTTGCACCATTCAGCATTAAAATGCATGCTACCTCTGACCAGGAGTTTGGGCATGCCCCCACTGTCCCTCTATTCAATAGACTGACACTCTATCAGCCACTGAGATATTATATTTGGCAGCAAAACAGCAGGAGTTGTGCCAACGCTTCATGCTGCTGTTTGGGAAAAATAAATAAGCAAATGTTTCTTACTGCACAGAGGGAAATCTGACTTCAGCCTTTCTGTTCTGGAAACGTTACAGTTTAGTTTTCCTAATCAGCCTACCTAATGGGGCCCCCTCCTACCCCAAGCCCCATAGCAGCCACATGGGCTGCTATGGCTATTGTTACCCTACTGCCTCCTATGCCTGGAAGATAGAACATGCTCCCCACTGTCCCCTTGTACAATAGGGTGTCTTTATCAGCCATTGAGGACAGTTGGTCAGTGAGACAGCTCTGTAGTATGCTTCCCACCACGATTTCAGCATACATTTCTGACAGCTACAAGGAGGGAGCAGAGGAAAAACTCTTGTAAAAAAAAAAATTGCCCATGCAGTGCTGCCACCCCAACCTGCTGACAGTTGCACATATGCAAAATTACACATATGGTTATCATTTCCAGGCAAGATTTTCCTCAGCTACTAATTGGACAGCGAAAAAAGTGATGATCAGTACAGTAAACTAGTAAGCTAATTATTGCAAGTTATACTGTTTTTTTAACTTTGACTTGTGTCTTTCTTGCCAGAAATATGTATATCAGCACATACAGTGTAGGCTCCACATTACCTATAACCCACTTGTTCCAAAGTCTCAAGTAGATGTTTAAGAAGATATAATCTGTTTCACCAGACAGTTATGGTTGGAGGTAAAGGTATGAAGCACGGTATAGTTATTTTAAAGTCCATCTCGGCATGAGGGTTCTGAAGCCTTTACAATACTTACCTAAGTCTGCCATCCATGTCTCTCACTGGAACTGTTTTTGTGGGTCATGACCTAGGATCCAGAGCTGCAGTCTATGTCAACTAACTGGTGACCTCTGACTAACATCATCACTCTTCTTCATCCTCAGAGGATGCTGGACAGCCAAGAGATATTGTCCATATCACCCAGGCAGTGACATTTGAAAAACTCCTCCTCTTATAAACTCAGCGATTGTTTAAAGGCGGGAGAGGTGACTAGGGTCAGGGGGTAGGAGGGGTGCCTGGACTTCAGCTTTAAAACATGTCTCCTTTTCATCACATATCTAAAATAATAAAGGCTTTATTACTCATTATGGAATGAGGAATATGGAGCTATGTGGTTATACTGTCACTTTTGTGTCCAAGTCCCACTGTAGCAACCATGGTTTTCTTACATTGCAATGATATTGGCAGATAATGGCTCTATAATATTAGTCCGCATCTGTATTCTCAAGTGGAATAAATCATTTTTCTTTTGAATTTGTAATACAAGTAAGGTAATAAAGATACCTTCTTATTTACAAAGGCTTTGCTGTGCTATAATCTTTTTAGGCGGTGTAACAAGTATAAGACATATTCTCACATCTGCATAGTAAAAATGTTTACCAAAGCACGTTTGGATACATACATTAAGCACCCCATTCATTTGACTATTATGGTCATTTACAAGACCGCACATGTGTAAAAATGAGTGCTTGCCAATTTTAGGTGTATGAATAGCTTGTTCCGGTTCATGGGTAGGCTGGGGTGTAATTGTCCTGCTGCCAGGTACTATAACCCAGTCTATTTAATAATAGGAATAAAAGTAAAATTGGCTCCATTTCAGAGCATAGTCACAGTGTGTTCTTTCTGAACATTTGCTGTACCTTGTTTGGATGTTCCTTACATATATTTGCACTCTCAACCTTTATCAGCTGTTAAGGCACATTAACACACAACACTTGGCAATGAGCCATGATAAACAAAATCAGCCAGTGAACTGCTAATGTTACTCTTAAATCAATGCAACGGTCAAAGAGGCCATTCTATTAATTTTAATTAGAGTTTCATGAAATCCAGTGCAACTAGATTTAGCAACCTTTTCACAGGACCTCTGGGTAGGCTGCAGCATCTTGTCACATGACTCTCTGCTGTAAATCTCTCTTTCATGTGGTCGTGTATGTGTGCATGAGACTGTACTGGGCTTGAACTGTCATACACACAGGTTTAGATTCAGGGCCATTCAGAAAAAAAGGATGAAGGCAAAAGCAGGAATTTAGCTGGTTGATTTAGTGGTTAGTTGCAGAGGATAAAGCCAGAATAATAAAACCAGAGCCATCAGCAGTTGGCTCCCTCAGTCAGTTTAAAGTGGGTCTTAGTCCCATTGTTCTTTTCTCGTGGATGGAGTTGGGAAAGATAAGGAACAGATTTGTTCTCTTATATGTGTTTCAAATGGAGAGACTTCCCCTTACTTCCAGTTGTGTCATTGAGACAGAAAGCGAGGGGAAATAACTTCAAAGCGAACACGCGCAGCCATAAAAGGACTGGAAACACAGGACAGTGTGTAAAGTATCTCTTTTGGGTGATATTTCCTCACTCTTATGCCACTGATAGATGAATGATGGAAAATGTCCTAAAAGAAAAGGAATAAAAGCTTACCTGCCAGATCAGTCATTTATGCCAACACAATAAACTGAGCTTCAAAAACAAAATGGAAAAACAAATCACATCTTTATGTTTTGTATTTTTGTCTGTGATCTCCACCCCTGCATTTTGCCCAATTTGTGAGCATTCCTATAGGGCAGTTCCAGTAGTTAACAACCCCTTTTGCTATGCCCTCCCACAGTCACTCTTGCTTGACCTCCCTCGGTTGTCAATTTCCTTTTGCTGTCGCCTAATTCACTCCCAACAGCTCTATAAAAGCTTCTCTGCTCTTGCAGTCAATCCTCTTCCCTTGCCATCTGCTACCAGTCATGTCTTCTCCGGGCAACCTTAAACAATCATCTCCTCTCCGGCAGTCAGTTATCTTTCCCCGCCTCCCACTACCAATCTCGTTCCTGCATTCATTTCTGCTGTCATTATCTCCTAGTGAGACTGGGGCAAAAGCATGGCATGTGTTGGGTGCAAGAATGCACCATTTCAATCACCTTGCATGAGTAGTGATACCACTGGTTTCAAGTGTGCTCACTCAGAACTAATTATATATTCACATACTACTGAACAGTTTGGTTAAACAGTGGTGGAACGGGCAGTCTACCACATTAGCTCAGCATCTACAGCACTGATTAAAAAAAAGGGCAACGTGCTACTTTGTCCCCTGGGAAACTGAAGCAACCTATGATATGTATAGTGAGATTTCTTTTTTAATGAGGACACAGACAGTCATAAAAACCCAATAGAGGCTCCAACCTCTCCTTTATATAATCAAAATTAAGAAATTTACATTGGTTGGAGTTTTACTTTTCAAAGTATAACTTTTACAATGAAACTGTTAAACAGTTTAATAAAATGATAGAATAAACAAAAACAAATATAGAATAAATAGAATAAATCTCAACCAAGACTTGTTGGAGCTGAATAAAGGTGCAGGAGTTTGCAAATTTAGGTACCACGTATCTGCTGAGAAAAGTGAGGTAAGATAGCTCTGCCCAATGCATGATTATTTCATTGTACAGTCAAGCTGGTTTAATTATTGTTATGACAACATAACAATCTTTATGAAAAACAAAGACAATTCAATAAACCCAAAATAACTAATGGAAGCAGAAAATACGTCACATGTAACAACAGCTTTAAAAGCAAACCGCACACGCTTTTTGAAGCATCCATAAAAAATGGTTTGTGACCTGTTTAGAATTACTACACTGTTATAAACAATTGCTTATATTTATCACTGTTCTTTCCACTGACAAATTTCATTCATAGTGCCACTATGCTGTCTCTATACATTGGATGAGGCCTTTTTTAGTTCACGCCTCATTACTTTAATTAAAAAGCGTCTGAGACCCCTCATCCTCCTAACAAGATGAGGTTCTCTGTCCCGCCTACTTCCCACATCAATCAGAATTCCTATTCTTTCCCCCACCCTCAGACCTTTCATTGCCCC